AAGATTTGGAACTGCTCAGGTTTTGTGTTTTCTTAAAAAAAAATTGAAGCATATTTTTTTGCAAATCTGAGAATATGAAAGAGGCTAGGAATCATTTGTTTACTTAATGTTGATGTATTATTTTTATGAACATTGTCGTCAAATTAAATCTTATATTATAAACTTTATATCAAATTTTTTAGTAGAAATTTTAATAAATTATAAAGAGTAAACATTTTCTTTTATAATTTAATCACACTTGAGACCATCATTTTCATTATATTTATTTTAGTTCCAGACTTGAAATCTTTTGTACATAAGAAAGTTTAAGTTAAAATGTATTTTTATTGTCTTTTGAAGGTGTATATGTTTATTTGTGCCAAGCATTAAAAATCGTAACTTGTGAGGTAATTATTTTTTTATTCTTTATTTGTCAGTTTAACTAAAAAATTATAAACAACATTCAAAAAATATTCTGTTATACTCAGAGTCCAAACATATTTATTTGAAAACTAAAAATATGAATGTCTATCTACGATGTGCTATTAACTTTGACTTATGGTTTTGCTAAAGCCTCATTTATAACAATTCTGTAGACAAATACTGCGGGCAGCTGCGGAACCAACATAAATTTAATTGCATCGTCTTCCACCATCTGTCCGTAATAACAAAGTTTTAACGGATACACATGTGAACGATTATTGATATATGATGGTTTTGTTTGTCAAAAATAATAAAAATGTTTAACTACATTGCTTTTAAAGTAGCAAGATAACCGCAAACATACAATACATGCTTGCATACAAGCTCATAAACATTATCACACAAGTAACGATAAAACTGTTTACTTCGTTCTAGCTTGGGACTTCCTGCTGCATGTACATAAACCAATTGAGACTACGAAGTTTTCAAAACAAAAAAAACCTTTTTAATGAGTGCATCCGTATGGGCATATTTCGATTGATATAAAAAATCAATTGCATTCACACTCTCAATTTAATTGAAACAATAACAGAAGAAGGAAAGCAAACACTGATCGTAAATAATTTGTCTGTGAGATTACGAGGTAGCTTGTTACGCAGGTGCACGTTTATAATTGTGTACACAAAAATTTTGAGGTATTTCCAATTAACGAAGACGTGTTTGTTTTAACCTGGTCAAAACCGGGGCGTCTTTGTGTGTTGTAAGCTTGAATGATATTGATTTTCTAAAGAATAATACAAAATTATTTTTAAAATTAGTTTCAAAAGATATGTAAAAATCGTAATTTTTTTTTACCTTGAGTATTGCTGAATATATAACAACGATTTCAAACCTTGTTGATAGCTCCAAAGAAATTCATCTTTATTCACGCGTATAAGGTACTGTTTCTCCAACTCCCAAAAGGCATTTACCTTTGAAATCAATAATTCTAAAATATTTTGGAAGATGATATCTTAATCCTTAAAATTTTGGTTTGCATCCATCCGACCCCAAAATTTCAAGGCACTCGTTAAATTTGTCTGGTGCGTAACAATTTATTGTAGCATTACAAACGAATCGGAATTCAGTTGGAGAGTGAGTCAGAATTTATGTAAAGTTAGCGTTGTTTCGTAAGCCGTGAATGATTGCGCGCGAATCGAATTTATGGTACCACACGTGCGCTGCTCACGTAACCCAAGCAATCAACAGCGAAAATAATGAAATTCATCTGATATAGAAATGTATAGGCTTGCATCAAAAATACCTTCAAGTTAACGAGAAACGCCATGAATTTTACTTACTAAGACAAAAAATAACTGGTGACGTTAAATAAAAAAAAAAAAATTTTGTAATCGCGAGAATCACTCAACTCAAGGACACACCGCAGCTAAATAGCGTGCGAGTCGAGGTGCGAGTGCAACGCACGATCTCTAAAAATAGAATCCACCCTGTACCAGTTTGCTTATTCCCTTCTCCACGTATCTATTACCTCTCTCGCCTTCCTTTCTTTCCATAAATCTTACCATATTACTACACAATTAACTGATATCTATACGTCGTGTGTAGGCAATGTTTACACTCTCACACGTGCCATTCGTATCGTGGAGCGAGGGTGTTTCTTCTTTGTGTGCACGAAGATATCGACTTTTTTCTCAAGGCTACAAAGTAATTTTCAATCGAAGAAAATTAATGTACGCCAATTAGCAAAAATAAACAAGTTCAAGGGAGATGGCATTAATTATTACGCGTACTTTTGACGTGCAAAAACAAAGAGCAGCGCACTGAAATACAGTGAAAAGAAAATGTTAAAGGAAACGTTTGTTTGAAATATGCAGACCAGAAAATATTAAACACTTTGCCACAAGTACACGGTTGTTTAATACAAATATTTTAAATATGAATATTGGTACTAGGATAATCAACCAGTGTTGGTCGATGAGGTAGTAGGTAGACATACTTTCAACCCATTGACTCTCTTGATCTCTAATTATTACTTTTTGTTTATAAAGGTGCTTCGACTGCATATAAATGAATAAATTAATAGAATACAAAACACCAGTTCTCCTTGATGCTTGCTCATTTGTAAGAATTAATGGTAAGTGATTTGGACTTTATTTGGTATATTATTTTATATCAATTGTTTTTCAGTTTTTTTTCTTAATTTATGTTCGATTATTTCCCATAACTATATATTTGATAAGAAAAGTTTCTTTTGTTTATATCCAGATGTAGATATTCTGAAGAAGCTATTAGTAAAACGGCGAAATATTGATCAACTGTGTACACATACTTTTTAACAATCATGCTCCAATCACTTGGTATTTCTTGTCTGAATCTTCCACCAAGTCAGTAGAATAATTAAAAAAAAAAAAACTCAAGCAAAAAATGTAATTAGGCACTAGCTTCCAAACTTCAAGATGAGTTTAAATTAAATTAATTTTTTTGTCCAATTCTATGTTTAAGTTAATCTTCAGAATACGCTACCAAGTACCAAGATAAAAGAAAAAAAATGTAACATACTTTATTTAACAAAAAATCACGGCAAGCCTACTAAAGCCAGCTCCAAATATACAGTATACAAAGAAACAAAAAATTTTGTATAGTGTAACATTTGTGAATTCGGCGTTCATTGATACAAAAGGTAAGAGTATAAGTACATTCATTGTGGTCAACTTTGCTTCCTGTTTTGAAAATTTGAGAAAGATCTATTTTTCTTGTACTCAATCATGCCAAAATTTTACAGTCCAATAAAAGAGTATTTATATAAGAAGCAATTCGCACGTAATAAAATTTTTGTTAACTTTAGGACAAACATAAAAATAGTCATGCATTTCATCGATTTACAATTTTTTTCATGTCGTCGAAGAGAAAAATAATTGATGTAATGTCATGTAAGGAGAAAATAACAAAATGTGAGCGAGACATGCAAATTTAAATTTAAAATGAGTAAACGCTCACGTAAATATCCTTTGGCCATTATGAGCAGGAAGTACTAATGAGTTCGTAAAAATTAATCATTTATAATTTTTTGATACGCGTACCGATAGAGTTGTATGAATAGAACGTTTTAAATGTAACAATAAATTTCAGTTTTCTCTTAAGTTAAAACTAATGTTACATAAAAATTCACACAGAACATATTTCTGCGGTGACAAACGTGCGATCCGAACATTTTTTACTTTTTCCCGTATTGTGTAGGTGTAGTATACGATTTTTTATTGTTTTCTGTTTTTGAACCAATCTTTTTTTTTACTTCCAAATCCATTGAAATAAAATTATAAATAAAAATTGTTTATATTATCTGGGTCCCATGTAGTACGAAAAATTACCAACCTACAAAAAAAAAGTTATATTCTTTTCTAAGCTCAAAAGATAAAAAAAATGTGAGCAGTCGGCCAAACAAGAGTATTCTGATATATTTTTTACTCGTGCTTTCAACCTTAATCACGTTATTTGATAAAATGAGGGCTACTCCAAAAACTATGTATGACAAACTCCACTAAGAGCACTTAAAAATTTTTTAAAATCTTCAAATTGATAGAAAATGGAGAATGCAGGAAAACGATTGAAAAAATGTAATAAAAAAAAACTATTAATTGAAACTCGTTAAATTAAAAAAAAATTCCTAATACTCACGAAGTTATAGATAATAAACTAATTTTTTTTGTAAGACTTAGGAGTACAGCGTAACTGCAAGTGTAATTTATTTCCAACTCAACTTACTTTATTTCAAACATTTTTTTTTTTCAACTTCTTAAGTACAATGGCAAGGAAATGGCATGTTAATTTAAAATACACTTTTTTTCCACCGTTCACACATGTTGCATAAAGGATAGCGTAACAGAGCTAGACAGCGCAACAGCTCCAGAAAATTGCGTCGCCGAGAAACTCTCGGCCGAAGGTCACCCAGCCGGGGAGGAAGAACAGCGTAGAAAGAAAAGATAACTACTATGTATAGATATAATAGTGCAAGAGCGCAACGAGGCCGATGTCCTCAAAAAAGTACGCCCACCCAAGAAAAAAAAATCAAAGCAAGTGACTCCGAAATCAAACAAGTGAAAAATAGTCCACAGAAGTTGAAGCCTGTATGTGTAGGTACCTATGATATATACATAGAGAGTGAGCGAACTGCGCGGTTCGCGAACCCGTCCGTGCAGCCGGGCACAAACAAAAGACAGCTGTTCAACATTAACGTGCCATACTTAGATAGCAAGCATCACCGAAGAGAAACGAAAATTTAAAGTACTGACGTACTGCACCAATTTAAATTAATGTAGGTATTTGCGACGCAAAACAAAAAACTTTCCTTATCTCTAATACGCATCGAGCTATTCCCTCCAATCTACATGGTGTGTATAGGTGTAGTGTATACGTATATAAGGTGTAAAGCCTACGTGCTCTTGATTAACCCGTGAAATGGCTGAGCTGATGGATCCGGCTCTATAACGTACACTTGTAAACGCAAAAACTTGACACACAGCACACGATGTACATAATCGTTTACTTACGTGCCCAAATCTACAGGCATTCGTATGCAAAATAATAAATATTCCACTCACCTCCCAGCGTCTCCTCGGATGAAAACTTCCCGATGGACATGATTGACTTTCTCGTCCTTGCTGTTGCTTCCTTTTTTGGCTATATACAGCCTACGTCCAATCCAATATTCACAATTACGCCTCGCAACAGAGATAAGTTGATATATAGTATCAGATGCGATAGCGGCGACGGTGGCTGTGTGATGATGTCCGGAGAGCGCGCGTAGGTGGATAAATAAACAGTGGAAGCGCGCGGCGCAACAGTAGAGAGAGAAAGCGAGAGACGCCGTCCCAGCTGTCTTGGGGTGTGTATATGCTATGCGTATGTATGTATACGTATTTAAAAGCCCCTCTGATAGTCTGATGCTCTGATGCCTTTCCTCCTGTACTGAAGTACCCAAAATTCAGATAACCTTGACAAATCGACCGTCAACTTAGAACCGCACAACCATGTTGTGCACAGATAATATACGAATGTGTATTTACCTATGTGGTATACGTCAAGCGAAACAAAGGAAATTACAATGTACACACAGACACGGCGCAACTTGCGCGATGCGCGCGGCGTCTCTCTCCTCTTTTTATACTGTTGTTTTAAATGTATTCTTCTCTCTATCGATACAACTCCAATCTCATGGACTTGCTGGCGAAACAATGAAGAGCAGATGAATAAACCTTTTATAAGGTGTGCAGTTGGAAGAAAAAAAAAATGAAGAAGAGAATGTCCGAGGAGAATATTGCCACGCGCGTTCCTGCAGGTAACCGAACTTCGCAAAATCCTGCGAGCGAATGCGCGACTGCGACGGCTTGTCTCCGACGCCGTTTCTGCTCTCTGCTTTGTTTTGACCCGCAAAACGTCAACATTGCACTCACACATTTATGTAAAGAACCATGTGGATGTGCATCAGTATACATGTATGTACATGCGCCATGAGAAAACTCGCGCAGTCGGTCGGACGACAAGGAGTGGGGGGACTGAGAGAGAGAGAGAAGAGAAGCCTGCGAGTATATTATATATAGATTCTTACCACGCTAGTCAAACCGGAGAAGGCGGAGAATGGGATTGTTATGATGTTTTCTTTCGGCTGACTGAATATATAGCATGGTGTGAAAATTCATAAGGTGCGCTCTTCAGCCTCCGAACTGATCAGCCAATCAGGAGGCTTGGAACAAGCGACCTTCCTTTTGGATTTTCCACCAATGAGCGTAGAGAGCGCGTTGTTCAACTACTGCTAAGTACACATAAACAAGAGTACGGGGTAAAAAATTTCCTGGATGAATAATATGTTTAAAATTTGTTAGGTGCACTGTTTTATGTATAAATATAATTTTATATGATGATCTGATTATTTGTAAAATATACAATGCATAAAGTTTATTAAATATTTCAATAAACAAATTTTACAATTTTTTTTTCTATTTATGAGAATTTTAACATCAGAAGTCAGTTTTTTTGTTCATCTCTGGCAATCTAATTTACGTTATCGTACGTACAAAGCTTTTAATTTAATACTGCTTGTCGAGGTGAGTTGTATTTGTTTTCAGCAATAAAGTGTAAGTAGTTGAACAACGCGCTCTCTCTACGCGGCCCGGAGCAGATCGACATACGATGATAACAAACGGTTAAGGTAAATATAAGGTACCACCTAGAAACACTTAAAAAATTTCTGTCCCCCTCATGAAACAGTAGAAATGAATATAGTTTTAGATGATTGTTTACGAAGAAATTATTCTCGTACAATATTTCAAGTGTAAGCTTCTTTAAACAGTAAAATTTTTTATTTGTTTCATGTTCTGATAAATGAAAAAAAAAAAAATAATGGTGAAGTGCTGTTTCAAACTGGGACACATCGAGAACATAACCTCAAACACATGATGTCCCTCGTATGAAACACACTGAGTGCATATAAAATGCATGTGTGTTTCATACAGAGGACATACTGTTTCAAAAGTAGGACACAAGTTTTAGTAATGTTTCATCTGGGGCCGTACCATATAACCATTTTTCTGTACATCGTCCTATGTTATAACATAGGCCCGCGAAGCTAAAAAAAGTTATATGGTACGGCTCCCGACGGACACAATTCGTTATTGAAGTTTTATTGATTAATAAAATAAATTAAATTCTAAACAGATTTAAAAAATTAAAATACTAAAGATCAAGACGAAGCGCTTCTGAAGAAACGAAATTTATGCTTAACATGTAAATATTATTTTTTTTATAAAAACCATAAGAAAACACTTGCTAAAAACCGTTCCAAAGGGGTACTTTTACCTTATATACCTCTATGGTGAAACCATAGACATAAGAAGTGTAGACTGCTCGTTCTTATGTACAGTATGTACACGTGTACACCCAAGGGCGCCCCGAGCCCTAAATGGCAACGTTGACTATTGTTTCCTCTAGATCAACAAGAGATGGCGTTAGCATCCGTAGGGAAACCAGCTTTTTGCCATATAAACAGCAGAGGAAGAGAGAAGTGCATAATATATCGCCTGCGTTGTCTGCTAGTGTTTTTGTTTGTAACGTCCTCTTGTCGGAGCAATCGTCAACGTTGGTTACATTGACCCGCTTAAAAGTGATAACACACTAGATATATACGTCGAATAAAATGATGGTATTGCTACTACCAAGTGTATATGCTTTTTTATTTAAAGCTGTATTCTGAGTAGACTATCAATTGTTGTCGTTTTCACCTATCTCTTATCATTGCTTTGACGGTAGTTCAGTTATTATCGAATACCATCTTGATTAAAGCTAGAAAAGAAACTTTTATCTGATGAGTAATAATTGTTAATCTCTAAGAACTTTACCCTGGCAATCTAATACATTATATGTATATTTTTTGTTTAGAATTGAATATCTGTAATATATAACTGCAGCTATTTTGCGTTGCAAGGCATGAGTTTTCAATTACCAATAAACATCGAGGAAAACAAATAATTTTATGGATTTTATAGTAATTGAAGTCATTTTTAACTCTTCCTTTGATCTTGAAAAAATATAAGGCGGATGTGTACTTTACGACTCCTTACGAGAAGTTGACTGCAAAACTCGCAATGCTACCAACATAACGCAGAAAATTCTAAATTATTAAGGCGGTAAATTTGAATGTTAATATGCGGTCGGTAATTCTTCTGTCGGTACTTAATAGGATTTGTTTATTTTAAACACAGCTCTCGAGCGAGCCATTACCAAACTATTACTGTGGGTGAACCATGGGTGAACAAGAAAAAAAATTTTTCAGGTGGAGGTGAAGCTTTCTTTTGATTCGTCATTAACATTCAAATTTACCGCATTAGTGATTTTGAATTCCCATGCTGTATTAGATTGGTAGCACTGCAAGTTCTGAAGCTAACTTCTCGTAAGGAGTCATAAACAACACTTTTACCAAATATAGTTCAATCAACAAGAAACTGCTCAATAGCTGTAAAGACTCTAGAGTGACTGTTTGTTAATGGATTCCCGAAGAATTTTCAAAGTTTATTTAGTTTCATTGGTTATGCTAACATCAAGGTGAGTAGATAAAATTTGATAAATCCAACAAATATTATAAACTACTTTTATACCTACTCCTTTGTCATCATAAGTATTAAATCAGGACTAAGAACTTAGTATTATGGAGCATGACTGTTTAAACAGGCTTGATAAGTAAAAACTCATGCCGTGAACCAGAAAATAGCTGCAGTTATATCTTATAGATATTTAATTACGAAAAAAAACATGTACACACTCAAAGTATCAAGTTGCCAGGGTAGAGTTATTAAAAAAAAAATTATTATTGTTACTGATCTACCAAAACGTTTTTGCTGGCATTAAGGTGGTTCTTCACCTAACCCATTTACTTAAACTTACAGGGAAACTTGGAGAGATTGTTATTAAAGTTATAAGGTATCTTCTCTTAAAATTTCAAGTCCCTTTATCAGGCCAATTTTTGAAAACGAGTCAGTCAAAAAATGCACTTTTAACATGTATTCTTATGTAGGTTACTTTTCCATACTACGATATCATGTAATATCTCGTAAAGTAGACTTAAGATCGTAATAGAAAAAGTTTGTAGTGAAAGAAGAACTTTTCAGCTTTCTTATAATATAACAAAAGTTTGGGCTCATCAGGGAAATAATATACGATATTTAATCGTAAACGAAATGTCTGCCGTGTAAACTACGGCAACGTCTGCTTGAGTAGGAGCGTACATGCCATTTTCAGAACCTTGCGTCAAAAAAGAAATTTTTTATAACTCTTACTCTGACTTTATTAACATGTTTATTTGTATGTAAATGCAATGATATTATAGTCAAGTGCCAGTACAACCTATTTTATGTTGCAAATAATACGCTAATCGAAAATTAGAAAACCACAGGGTCCCGTGTCGCTTTGATACGGCACCATCGTGAAGAACCACCTTAAGCAAGATACTATTTGCTAACTACCTTCAAATCAATGATAAAAGAAGGTTGAAACTGACAACTCTTGATAATTAACCCAGAAAGCAGCTTTCAATAAAAAAGCATATTCACCAGGACACCAGGATATAGCTACACGATTATTTTTTTCGCAGTCGACTTAATGTGCCATCACTTTTTATCGGGCCAATAACCAACATTGACGATTGCGCCGATTCAAGGACGTTAAACACAAAAAACACTAGCAGTTGACGCTGTACATACATAAACATACAAGCATAAATCCGATCAGAAATTCTAGTTCGGCGGACTAGAGGTTCGAATTCGATTGCCGAAGTACCGGAGCTGGGCCGACGATGGCAACATGAGGGCGCAAATGGTAGGTCCGAGGTTGGCTGCCAAAATAATGAAGACCCTAACCAAACACGAAGCTTTTTTTGATGGTATATATATATATATATATATA